ATAGCGAACATCTAGATATAGAATGTATTAAATCCAGTTAGTTTTCTCCTCAGTTAATCAGAGTGTCTGCCTTAAAAACCAAAGCTAGCTCAGTCTCCAAAAATGGTCTTGGTTCAGTAGGCAAAGATGAGGCAATTGGTTCAGCATGTAGAGGACACTATGGACTCTAGAAGTAATGTCACAACTGCCATGGATTGAAGTAGAGAGATCAGTGAAACCTTATATTTATTAATGTTTGGGTCCTACTTTTCAGGGCACTGTTAAACACATGCCTGTGTTAATCTTTGATTATTTTGACAAAATATAATTTGGGCTTCAAGTAATGCAATCAAAAGAAAATAGAAAAAGCCCACTTAGGAAATAATTTAAAGTAGAATTGGAATTGCATAACTAATATGCATCAAAATGTTGGAGACATTCTGGATTTTCAATGTGTAATGAGGTGGTTGAATGGAACTGTCCAAAAGGAGCATGATTTATGTATAAATACACAGTCTCCTTGGAATAAGCCTTCCACATTTAAATCAAATTCAACTGTACATTGGCCAGATGTTTCTCACATTACTACATTTCAAGAGATTCCTGGAAATGATCTCATACATGGTTAACACTATATGTTATTCACGTCATGTCATAATTTAGCTTTTAGACCCTGGCAATCAGTTTGTGGCTAAAATTGATGTGGCCTGTCACAGCAAAATAGGCAGCTCAGCTTCGATAACTCTTAATTCATGTTGAAAGTAAGGAAATTAAATCATGTATATAAGAAAGTACTGAGAATTTTTAAGGCAAATACATTGAATTGGACTAATCTAGCAAATTAACAGCACCATTGTCCTCTCATAGAGTAGAAATTCAAGTACAACAGCAATCAGTCTCTTGTCAACTGTGGAAACACTATGTGTTTAGAGAAGTACTTTTGAATCACCATTCAGCTCAGAAATGGGAATCAAGAAGTTTGGGAAACTGAATTGTAAATCTGAGAACAATGAAAACATCACTTGAAATCTTGTGCCAAACCAATTGGCCAAAGTAGCAGGAAGGTTTCAAAAAAGCAGCAAAGCTGATAAAGGCTTTCCTTAAACACATTTAAGGAAAGAGCAGAAAAAAAAACCGCTTATTTTTATGAAATGAACTCAAACTGACTGCATTGGTGTTAGGGGAAGATGGCAAACAGCTGGTCGACTTTCAGTTCTGGGGTCAGGCAGTTTTTTTTTTCTCAACATCAGCATGTTTGCTTCACCAGGAAATGCGTATTGCTTATTCGTCTGTCGAACAGTGCTGAATAAGTAGGTTGCCCATGGTGAATCTGAAAATATTGCCCAGGTTCCATAATGATGCTTCAGTACATCTAAAGCCAAAGCTGTCTTAAAACTGTCAAATACTTCCTGAGTCTCCCGAACACCAACACTTCTTTCCTTCCAGCTTTTCTTTTCTCAATCTATGGAGTTTTCCTAATAGTTCAGCTCTAAACCCTCCTAAGAGAGCACCGCTGTGTTCAGAAGCTGAAAATGTGCCCTAATGATTCTATATATGACATCTAGTGGTAACAACGAAAACCTACAAGCCGCTTGTTAAGAAAAAAATGGTACATGATAAAAGAAAATATTTCCTTAGTGAGGTACAGTAAAGTTTTCAGTCTGATTCATATGTCCCCCATGAAGCAGAATCTTTTGAAGGCATCATGTTTAAATCATATCTCTGTTTGGAATTACTGTATCAAATTTTGTCTAGCCCCCCCCCCCCCCCGTGATTTATTGCAATGGCAACTTTATGGCAGCCTCTTGAATTGTGCAATGCTTGCCACACGTTTATTTTGCTTCCCTTCCCCCCCTCCCCCCCCCCCCCCCACTGCAACAACTCTACTTGATAGAAAGGAACATGAATGTATTTTCATACCCAGTTTCAGAGAAATTCTGATGGATGAGTAGCGTATGATAGAAGCATATTCCCATTTAACTCATTCTCCCACCAAGTTTCTTCCCTCATTGACTTTCCCTGATTTAATAGAAATTGCAGTGGATTATATGATGAGGCAATTTCTCCATTAGGACATTTTCACACCAGGAAATGATAGCCAGAAAGAATGTAGGAGGGTTAAATAATAGATTAACAGAGTTGGAAGGGACCTTGGCGTCTAGTCCAACTGCCTGCATGAGCAGGAGACCCTATACCATTTGGGACAAACGGCTGTCCAATCTCTTCTTTAAAATCTCCAGTGATGGAGCACCCACAACTTCTGAAGGCAGCCCATTCCCCTGGTTAATTGTTCTCACTGTCGGGAAATTTATCCTTAGTTCTCTCTTCAATTTCCATCCATTGCTTCTGGTCCTGCCTTCTGGTGCTTTGGAAAATAGGTTGACTCCCTCTTCTATGTGACAATCCCTCAAACATTGGAACACTGCTATCATGTCACCCAGGGATGGGATTCAATCGGTGTTACTACTGGTTCGGTGATTATGTTTTGCTGCGCACGCGTGTAATAAACCTTAAGCTGTGCCACACGGACAGCTGATAAGCGCTGCCCGCGGGTGTGCAGCAATTGAAAAGCCACTTATTTCCTGCGTTTTCAACCTCAGCTGTGCCGCGTAAAGCAGCTGAGGTTGAAAAAGCAGGAAATAAGGGACAGGTAAGAGCCCAGGCGAGCGGATGGGCCAAACAGCAGCAGACACAGAACCGGTTTGGTGTCTGCTGCTCTTTAGAGCTACTGGTTCTATAGAGCTGGGCAGAACCAAAAGCATTCCACCCCTGATGTCATCCCAATTCCCGTAACCATTTCTCATGTTCTAGACTCCAGTCCCCTAACCATCTTTGTTGCTCTTCTCTGCATTCTTTCCAGAGTTTCAATGTATTTTTTTATATTGTGGTAACCAAAACTGGATGCAATATTTCAAGTTTGGTCTTACCAAAGCCAAGCAGTACTAACACTTTGCATGCTCTTGATTCTGTCTGTCTGTTAATAAAGCCTAGGATTGCTTTGGCATTTCAAGTGACTGCAGTGCACTGCTGGTGCATAGTTTAAACGATTGCTCACTAGGACTCCAAGATCCCTCTCACTATTACTCTGTTATTGAGCTAGGTTCCATCTATGCTATACCTGTACATTTTCTTGCCCAAGTGTAAAACCTTATTTTTCTCAACATTGAATTTTATTTTGATAGGTAGGGACCAATGTTCAAGTCTGTTGAGATCCTTCTGGATCTCGAGTCTTCTGGGGTATTGGCTATTCCTGCCAGCTTGGTGTTGTCTGCACATTTGAGTTCCCCTTCTACTCCCTCATCTAAATCGTTCATGAAGATACCGAAGAATATTGGGCCTAAGACAGACTCTTGGGCCACTTTACTGCTTACTTCCCTCCATGTAGGTGTAGTTCTATTAAAGACTACATGTTGAGTACGGTTTGTCAGCAGTTATAAATCTATCTGGTGATGATGCTATCCCACATTTTTCTAACTTACAAAGAAGTAGGTTGTGGCCTTACTGAAATCCAAGTATACTTATGTCCAAAACATTTCACTAGTCCACTAATTTAGTCACTTTATCAAGAAATGAAGTAAGATTTGTTTGGCATGAACTGTTTTTGACAAACACATGTTGGCTTCTGGTTAGAACTTTGCTTACTTCTAATTGTTTGCAGATCTGTTGCTTGATTATCTTTTCCAGGTTCTCCCCAGGTATTGATGTCAGACTGATTGGTCTATAAACTGTAATTCTGCTGACACGACTGCCAGCAGTTTGATTCTCAACGGCTCAAGGTTGACTCAGTCTCCCATCCTTCCAAGATTGGTAAACGAGGACCCAGATTGTTGCAGGCAATATGCTGATTTTGTAAATCGCTTAGAGAGGGTTGTAAAGCAGTAAGTCTAAATGCTAACTTTCCTAGTTGTCAGGGTCATTAAAGAAACCCATTTCTACTGTGATGTGTTTCCCACACACATTAGTTAACTAATTAGCAAAAAGTTATCTCTTTCCTCTGCTTGATTGGATGGCCTGTAGTACACACCTGTGCCATTCTTTTTTCCTTTTATTTTAGCCTGTATGCCTTCAAAGAGGCTTTCATCCTTGGTTTTATGCATTTCTGAAGAGATTAGTGAATTTTTTTTACATATAATGCAACTCCACCTCCCCTTTTGTTAGGTCTAATTCTTTTGAAAAGTTTATATTTAAATAGACTATAATACAAGGGCAATATTAAAATAAATTCAAATACCAAAAGAAATTCCCAATAAATTTAAATTTCTTCCTAAAATAAAATAGAAATATAGAATTTGGCTCAATTTTAAACTAGCTATGAATAGCAATAGCAATAGACTTATATATTGTCCCACAGTGCTTTACATAACTGTCCGGCAGATTATAATATCAGCATATTTTGCTCTTATTTTACCAATATTGGCAGAATGGAAGGCTGAGTCAATCTTGAGTTGGTCAAGATTGAACTCTAGACTGTGGGCAGAGTTTGCTTGCAATACTCACTTTAACCACTGTGCCACCAAACAAACAAAGATCATACTCCATGATTATAAGCTGTTCACAATTTTAAATCTATAATATATCAAAGAGCTAAATAGAAAAGCAAAACATCAATCATAAATCTACCAGAACCAAATAAAACCAAATCAGGAGCTACATAATCACTCTGTCCCCAAGGCCAGGTCTTTAATAACAGAAGAGTAGGAGCCAGAGAAATGTCTGCAGAGAGATCATTCCAAATGGCAACAGGGTAGATATATTTCCTGATTCCCACAAGGTGGCACTGTTTATTTGACAGGTTCAGTTACATTATAAATAAATAAATGAATGAATGAATAAATAAAGGACCATACTGCATTTAATTTTATTTCTGTATCAACTAGTTCAAATGTAAAGGTATGCATTTTGGTTTGATACATCTTAACTGTAGGGGATATATAGTTTTTATTTTTATCTTATACCTAGTAATATTTCAGATTTATCACCCGGATAAATACCTGTTAACATATGTGATAGTAATAAAAATACATTAATGTCATAGACTTTTTTATTTTTGTACATGTACATCAACATTCTGACATTATTTTATACACAGCATTATGATCTGGTTATTACAAAACTGCTCACTGAAAAAAATTGGTGAGATGACTTTACTTGGGATTGTTTTAAACACTAACAATTAAATTACTATATCTTTCCATAATGCAGAATGTTACATCCTGATAGCTTTATCTGAACTTTAGAGAATTGTTCAAGTATATTTTTTTCATTTAACAATAACTTGTTACTTTCAGTAATTCGGTAAGGCAAATTACAATATTTGAAATTTAAGAAGTTCAGCAGTGGATACAGACTCTTCCCTTTATTCTGAACTCTTAATTCTCAGAACTATACTTCTCTTCCACTGACATGTCAGTAACAGAACCCCAATATCTGGAGTTTTACATTCCTGCAATTTGCAGCCAAGAAGCAGATTATTATTGTTATACAGAATGTTTAGGCAGATTTTTATAACACTAGCTTTTGTAGCACAGTCATACATTTGCCACAATTCTAATAGTGTTTCTGCTGCTTTTTACAAGTTTGTACATTACCATCAGTTTTCATTAGAGGAAAAGGAAAAACAAGCTTTAGTTTAAAATTTAGGACACCAAAGAAATCCAATTGTATCAGATACAATACTAGCACTGTAGTACTTTGCACTAGATGATGTCCGTGACAATTGAAGACATAATTTTAAATTATTCTAATTAATTGGAGAATACTCTAAGCACTTAATATTTAAGAGATGTACTTTCAATCTATATACTTCAGCAAAGACCATATTCCATTTCTCAAGGGGCATGTTATTGCCACTACATAGTTACGTACATCTCAGCTTCAGAATTCCTTATTTGCATAGAAATCAACATCCTGTATAGCCAGGTCTGACTAGTATAGTCTTATGGCTTGATCAGTTTACCAAGTAGGCATCATATCAGGGAACCACATTCTTCCAAGATGTTTGGAAACTTCAGAATGAATTTGATCCAGATTATAGTCACTATCTGGAATGAGCACTTCTTCCATAATGGATAGTTGTGTGAGTCTGCCTCCACACATCTTTACAAATTCAATAAAGCCTCGACAGGTAACTTCACATTCACCAAGTCCCATGGCAGTTAAATTCTTACAACGTTCAGCAATGCGAATGAGTTCATCATCCAAAGGCTGAAGACCATTAGCACAGACAACCAATTCAATAAGCCTTGGGCAGTTCAATCCAATGCGGCCAAGCATTGATTTACTTACTGCACGGCCAAAGTAAAGATGAGTTACAGGCGTTTCCTCTCTGAAGAATACATCAAACTCTTCCTCATATAGGAAGAAGTACATCACAATGTTGACTTTAGGGGAATGCTTAATCAGTGCATCCCAGCTTTGCTTTTTGATGGTGTGAAATTCAGTCTGTCCAGGATTCTCGCTTACAACATCTATACGGAGATGTTCCAGGTTAACATGCTTCTCACTTGAAAGAGCCAGCAACAGTTCGTCACTTAGTAGATGGTAGTTAAGAGCCAACTCCCTAAGGCCGTGACACTGGTCAGCAACACAAAGAATTCCTAAAAAAGCAGAACATTTAACAGATGTGTATAAAATATACTTCAATTTATTTTTTTTATGCTATAGTGTGCTTATATGCCCAGCAAAGTTGCAAATAATTTTATGTATTCTGAATGGGGGGAAAAATCATAAAAATGATGGGAAGTTCTACATTATTTCCTTTATTTGTTCAGAAAACAATTTCAGAAACCTGCAATTTCAGCAAAGAAATACTATCAATGTCTCAATGGGTTTATCATTTAAAATTTTGGTTCTCCCACAGTGACAAGTTCTAAACAAAAACACTGATATACAGTGTTAATCATTTAGAAAAAGTATATTTAAAATCAATAAAATTTCTTTCAATACAGCTTCAGTCCAAAACCATGCATAATAGATATAATCTGCAAAAAAAAATAATTGGTCACAGAAAGATATACTGTCTACCAGGAAGACAAAAATGTGGTGCAAGGAGGGTTTTTGGTTCCATTGCTTATGTAGTTTTAATTCTGCATAATTAAGATATTTTTGTGAAATCTTTTGACACTCATTAATTTGTAATTTTGCCTAATTTGATCTAAAAATAAACTAAATGCCTACTTAACTAGGAATTTATAAAAAAAACCAGCACATCTAGTGAGCAAAACTCTTCTCCGACCACCTCCTCATCTGAAAAACATGCATATCAAAATAGTAACTCTCTTGACTCTCACAGGACAACTATGTTTGTTGTCATCTTTTTTTAAAAAAGAACATGTGTTGTAAGTTGCAGCAGGCCAGTGACCACTTGGATGAAAAGGTGATTTCCAGAGCCTCTCCATTTATGGTGCTTCTGGATTCCTTAGCAAAGAACTGGATACAGAGCTGAGGAAGAGGACTATACAGGCTCTAGAAAGGAAAAGGTTTCTCTCTTTACCCCAAAGAGGATGAAGTGATTAAGTGATGAAAATTGGAGACACCTATTGAAACATATTGAAGAAGCAACCTGTTAACTTATGAAGAGAAGTGTACTTCTTTCCTGGGTCTCACATTCAGAACATGATTGAAAAGTTCCTAACTATGCCTTTCTACTGAGACACATTGACACAAATGATGCAGCTTGATATAGTCTGAAGATACTGCAAGGGAAAGGATTTCTCTGCCATAAAGCAATGAAGCTAGACGTACCAACAGTATTTTAAACTACTTCCTGTTGAATGATATGACCTTACAAGAAAGTCTACAAGAATCAAATAATTGGTTAAACATGTTGTGCCAATGGAAATGGTTTGGATTCTGATTCTTTGAGATATATGGAGACCAAACTAAAAGAATAGATAACAATGCAGAAAAACCAACATAATTTACTAAGCATTATTTAAGTCTGGTAGAAAGAAACTACCAGAAGAATGCATACATAGGTGACTTCACAGACTGAAGAGTATAACTTATTTTAAAAAAATATAGATCATCTATCTCTATCCTCAGAGTCGCCTGACTTAAGAGTGCAAATGGGCAGGGAACTTTCTTGGGGTTGCGGAAAGGACTGTATTGTAAACAGGAGAAGTGAAATGTTTTCAAGAAAAAAAGCAAGGAACTCCAGTTGCCTTTTGAAAAAGTATCTTTGAGACATGAAGTTACAAGCATATTATTGTATTGTACTAATCTGTGCTACAGACGGGCATGTCAGGCAGAAGATTACAAAGACATGTGAAGAGAGATCTAGTAATAATGGCAGACTTCAATTACCTGGACATCAGCTAGAAGACCAAATCAGCCAAGGCTTCCACTGTTGATTTTTTTTTTTTTTTGCAAAAGGTTGAAGGGGAAAACAAAAGATCCTCCTATATTTGATTTTAATCAACAGGGAAGAGCTGGTTGAAGAGCTAAACAGAATGGGAACACCTATTTATTTAGCGTATGGCACATACATGGACTTATAGTGGTTTAAATGTTAATGTCCAGCTCACCCAGCCATTCAAAGACAGGGTGGTCTATGTTGAAAAAAATCAGATATAGGGCCGGTATATAAGCTCTTGATGGACATTTGGACACAATGTGATGGATATTTTGTCAAGGATCACCACAGTCACACTGAGGGGTACAGCTCTAAATGGGAAAGTGCCATGACATACTGGTTTTTAATATGCTGATCATACATCCACACACACATACACAATATTTCAGGAAAGCTAATGTCAGCAAACTCTAGGTGGGAATATTAGATGGGACCCCATACTAGATAGTATCCCACCAATACTAGGTGGAACCCCATGGACAGCTATCCTAAAATTAAAAAATATAGGAGAGTCAGTAATGTTCCCAGAATATGACCAACTACACACCACTCCAATGAGAAGAAAGATGGGAGAATTTAAGAAGCCATTATGGTACAGGGTTTTGGATTAGATGATTTGCAAAGTCCTTCAGATCTTATGTTTTATGATTCTATGAAATTCAGAGCACTCCACAGCAGACTGACATTACCAAACTAAAATCATAAACCTGCTTCTTCATTTAAAATATATAGCTTCTGTTGCTACATCCAAAAAGCTGCTCTAAGTTTCTACTTAAGAATGAACCCAGGAGCTGCAATGACAAGAGTAAAAAATGGCATGGAAAAAAATTCTATATAGCAAGATAATTTTGAACCCAAAAGATAAAGGCAATGCAATAACAATAGTTCATTACTCTTGCCGCAGTGTTGTATTTTTGTTTACTTGAGTTTATTACTTACCAGCAGGTGACACATGAGGGCAGCTGCTCATTTTAAGCAATTTTAAAGTGTCACTATTGTTAGCAACAAGGACCTTCAAGGATGGATCATCTACTGGTGTATCTTCAATCTTAATGGAAGATAATGACTTGGAATTGATGAACACTACTGTCAGCGCTGATACAAAATGAGCCTATTCAAACAAATTAGAAAAGAAACATTTCATATATATCTCCTATAGAGTTATAAATTCACTGTATTTTTATTAAAAGGGGTAATATTGTCAGTTCATATTTCTAAAAAGCTGTTTAAGGAAAACTTTTTCAGAAGGGATGATTATATAGAAATATTTAATGAGTCATTACCATAAAATACACATAGGGTAGATGATTTAGAGCCATTAATATTGAAGAATAGACCCTTAACAATCAAAGAATTTTCTTTATTTATGAGTACACCAGGCCTGAATGCAATAACAACTACTCAGCAGATCAAATTCAAACGGCGTGGTAATAGCATAATTTTGCCCAAAGTTTACAACCACTTATGTAATTTAGATGAAAGAAAAGCATTGAGCAATAGATTACCCCCCCTCACCCTGTCTGCTGAGTTGAACATCGACTGCAGTAAATTTGAGACGCACACAGAAAATGAATTGTGGAAAGGGGATTACTGTGAAATAATCTTAATTACATCGATTTATGAAACAACCGATTTGAAATAATTGTGAAGAAATACAGTTTGAGTGAATGTTCACTGTAATTATATTGAAAGGAGTCCAATGACATGAGGATAGTTTTTTTAAAAAAACACTCTTCTTTTAGATTTTATAATCAGAAACGGTGCTTTAAAACTTCCCCAACTCTAGTCAGTATGATCCTGGGGGCTAGTGATGTGAATTATAGTATACAAACTTGAATGCTTATTTATCTAATTTAGCAGAAATACGCAGTACATTTGCAAGATAATGAATCAGCAAATGGCTAAGATTTTCAGAAGCAACCGAAATGGTAATATATCACCTGAATATTCCAGCTCTTACAAAACTATTTTACGATACAGGATATATACAACATATGTTTTAAAGAATATGGATTTGGAGGATTCTATTTCAGCAACCTCATCCCATCCATAACATTTTTTCAAACTTGGTATATTTTCTATTTTTGCCTATGTACTGATCATCAAGTGATGAACATAATACTAATGTAGTGTTTTCAACTAAACATGTACAGTATATATTCAAAAAAACTAGAATTCTTTTGGTCACAGGGGTTGTTTTCTCAGACTAGCATTTGTCAAGATCTAAGGTTTTCATAGCAGAACCTGCTTATTTAAATTATAGTGATATCCAACTGTGCTGTTCCACTTGTTGTAGCAATACTTGATTCAGTGAATGGAAAAGGATGGGAAACAAATTCATTAATCCCTTCTTTATACTGTAGCTACTTCTTCACTTTGTTCCCAAGGATTGATGGATCTTCTTGAAATGACAAGGGACTGCAACAGAAAGAGAGGACTACAAAAAGTCCTTTTTCTCTCAATTTGTAAATGTTCCTATTGTACCAGAACTTTGTTCTTAAAGCAAAACTAATCAATGAATTATTTTCAAAGGTGACACATGGGGGTGGGGGCATGTGGGAATTCTATAGGCTGTGTTTCCAAATATATATGCAGCATAAATATATATGTAACTATCAGTTTTCCAAGTTCATATCTTTGCAAGCAATACCTTAGAAACATCCATAAAACTTGGCTTTGCTGTTGAAATTAAGCCAAGTGTCTTGATAGAACAATTCACCAGCTGAGAAAGAATATCACATGCTGCTTCTGCAGACTCGGTACTACTATCAACCTGGAAAAAAAAAAACAGTATTTCATCAAGATAAAGATTATCTCATGCTGCCATTCCTTTCATACTTCTTTCCTAGCTTTAAAGCATATTGGAACCCTTTGATCCTCAGGGCTACTTAAGCTTTTCATCGGGTAATTAAGGTTAACCACTCATCACCTACAACTCTTGAACAGAAAGGTGCCCAAATATATATATAGAAGCTGATACAGGATTTCAAACAAGCATGTATAAATTGAACACAGGTGGTCCTTGCTTTGCAACAAGTGGGCCTAGCAACTAAGTAATATGGCCATTAAGCAAAACCTCATGTGACCACAATGGACTTACAACACCATTTTCATTTGGTTGTTAAGTAATGACATAGGTCATTAGTGAGACATCTTGTGAACACAACTTGCAATTTTAAGATTGGCTTTTCCATTGATTCTGCTAATCAGAAGCCAGCTATGAAGCGTACAAATAGTGATCACATGACCGAGGGATGCTACAACAATCATAAAAGCCTACTGCTTAATCTTGATCATGTGACCACAGGGATACTGCTATGATTGCAAGAGCAAGAACTGGCTGTAAATTTACTTTTACAGTGCCATTGTAACTTCAATCTTTGCTAAACAGGTTGCTGAACAGGCAGTTGTTAAGCAAGTTCTACTTGTACATTTAAAAATATAAAAAAATACAAGGAATCACCGTGCATAGGATATGCCTGACATACTATTCAGGTGATCAAGATTGATTCATTTTTAAAGAAAATACACTAAGACTTCACTCAAGAGACAGTAAAAGACAGTCCCTTACATGTTTATTCCCAGATTTCTAAAGTTAGATGTGATGAGAAATAATGATCTATATTTCACTCTGCTTCTGTTTGGTCTGTATATAAAGATGTCTGTTAACTTGTGCTGAATGTATATTGTTTGCTGCCAGCAATTCCTCCCACACCTCCTGCTCTGAAGGACTGGGGGGATTTATTCATGTATTTAGTGTATGGCATATCATACACGTACTAGCAATATATATTAGCATATATTAATAAATTAAGAACTGGGGGATATTGTGAATCACATCAGGGTTGAAGGGAAAAGGGGGTAAGGGAATGATTGAGCTGGAATCCCCAAATCTACTTTAACACTCCTAAGTAGCATTTTTTCAATACTTCAAGTAGGCAATATATAAAATAAGCTTCCCCACAAAAAACTCCCCAAGAAAATGCAACCCAAGGGGGGAAAATATAACAAAATGCAGAGTTATTAAAACATTCTTTACCTTGAAGCTTACATACTGCAAATGATTAGCATGTCTCTTGATAATCTGCTGAATAAGATCGGGATGAGTAGACTTCAAGTAAGACGTAGCAGGCTGATTCAGTTCAAATTCAAACTTTCTCCAAAGATCAGGGATATGAAATACTTCATTCCATCTCCGGCAAACTGAAGAGGCTCGAGCACGATCAACAAGAGGCAGATACTGAAAGATTTGCAATACTACATGGATGGGCAGGTTTCCCCAGTCAATCAAGTTGAAAGAATGAGATGCAGCAAACATTGAGCTATAAAAACCAGTTTTTTGCTTTTTTTTGCTTTCTAGTGTTTGAAGAATGGGATTTTCATATTTAACTGTCTCCTTGATCCTCTTCATACCGATGACAAAAAGAAATCACGTCAAATACTGTTGAATTGTGTAGAATTGACAAAGGTTTCTGTAAGTTTTGAAATACAGTTGATCTCTACAAAAATAGGGACAGAATTAAAGGACTTTCAGAATGCAAAATCTGTCAATATTAATCAATATTTATACAATCCTTATTTTTAGAAAGATTACACGCTGTCTGAGGGGTGAATGGAAGCCATTCAAATCCCAAATTTTACACTGGTCAGTTAGATGTCTTCTGCTGACATCCAAGAAAAGTTGTGGCTGACTTAAAGATTACTTCTCCCTCTCTGGGTTTAGTAAAGTGGTAACTATAGGCCTTTGGAAAGCAATTTATTTTATTTAAATAGCTGCCCATCTCATGACTCTTTGTTCCAAATTCCACTGTTATATTTAAGGTGAGTCTTGAAAATGCCAATTTCAGGATTTTTTTTCAGGGCTTTGAAGATGAAAACTGTCTAGCAGTGATTCCTAGATGATGGCATGTAGCAGTCTGAATTCCCAGGAGGAAAGGGGTGCATTTCAGAGGAATCAGTTTCGAAAGATTCTGTCTTATAGGTGTGGAAGAATAAAGAAATGTGCTTGGAAGAATCACGTGTCTTTCTTACTTTTGACATCTATCTTGCCAAACTAAACACTCTTTCAACATGAAGCATACACTCTGAGAACTATTAGGGAGTGGCTATCTTCACCCTCTTTCTCTTACATGAAGTATTTGGACTGAGCTGCCTCTTATTCCTTTGGAATCCACCTCCACCTTCCAGGAAATCCAGATTACATTCCATCACACTTGATTTATTCATCTTCATAAATCTCCCTTATTATTTTCTTCTTTACAAAGGCTTAAAAACTGTACTAAAAATGGCACTGAGGGTGAGAATATAGAATATAGGTTTACCTCTCAGAAGGTTCCTGTCCTCATTCCTTTCTAGGAAGTTGGCAATCAAATTCAGCTATTCTGTCACTGAATTTTGGCAGTGCAATCTCAGAGATCCAGGGAGCCACAAAAGTAGTTGCAAGTTAAACTGCTGCACCCATAGTATAATACAGAGTTCCCCAAGCTTTCTGGGTTGGTGGCCCGGGGGGACATGAATGTGTGCAAATGGGGCTGTGAGCTGCGTAGATGGTAGCACCCATGGCGATGCTAGCACCTGCATGTCACTTGTGGTGATGCTAGCGCAAGCGGGGATGCACATGCATGCTGGCCAGCCACTCTGGCCAGCCACTCATGTGACCTGCTGGCCAACAGGTTGAGGACCCATGGCATAACAGATTCTTAAGTTAATTTTCACTTCAGGCTCCTTCATAGAAAATTAATTTACCACTGGCTATTGTGGATAAACTGTAAACATATGTTTTTCCCCCAAAAGAATATGCATAATTATCTATATACAGTTTTCCTCTTTCCCGAAAGGAGTGTGGAAGGACTGAGGGAGAAATCAAACTTTAAACCTCTTGAGGGATGCCCTGAACCATATACTTTCTCCCATTCCTTTTAGGTAAATGAAACTACATGGTAAGATCATCCAGTGGCATAGGGTCAGATTTAATCAGTCTGCGGACAACACCAACCTGTACCTCTTAACCGTTGGCTGAGTAAGTGACACTATTGAAGTACTTGCAGGTGCATAGAATCTGTCTCTTTAAATGGGGAGAGTAACATGCAAATCCAGCAAGATGGGAGCCACTGTGGGTTTGAAAGTCAGCTGCTTCCTGGGAGATTCCATTATTAATTTTGAATAACTTTGCACTTCCCTGAGCAGTTTTAGTTCACAGCTTGGGAGTTCCTGCTTTAGTCCTCTGAATCCTCTAGAGTCCCAGCTCCTGCTTTAGGAGCAGATGACAGCTACTGCTAGGAAGCCTTTGCTCAGTTCCATCTAGACTGCTCTGTTCTGGAATGGCAGCCAATATTCACTGTCTACTCATGCCTTATCTACTTTTTAATTGGACTACTGTAGTGCACTGTACCTGGAGCTACCATTGAGGAACATTTAGAAGCATTCGAGACATTTGGAAGTTTAGAATGCAGTAGCTTTGGTAATGATGGATGTTTCTGTTGCCAGTTGACTTCCAAATACAATTTAAGAAGCTAGTTGACACTTTAAAAACCATTCATGGTTCAGGGCCTGGATATCTGCAGGATCATGTTCTCCCTGTAATATCTACTTACATGGCAGTATCTGTGAGCTCCTCACATGTCCCCCATAGTTAGAGGATCACATTTTTACGACCACCACGTATATATGAACATTCAGTCACTGTTCCCCTTCTCTAAAATAGCATTCTGCACATTATGTGATTGGCCCTTTCTCTTTTAAGAAATGGGTTGTTCCATCAAGTCTGGGGGTTAGGAGGTAGGGCTGAGCACATTCATTAGTTATGTCAACTTGTGACTGATGAGTTTGTTTTTAGCCAGGCTGCTATCTTATGTGCAGTGTTTTTGTTTTTAAAAAATGCTTTTTTCTTTTTCTTTTAAGACTGTTAGCTACCCAGTCCTGAATTTGAGATAGGCAACCATATAAATTGAAATAATCAATAAAGTCAAGGAGGGTAGATTGTTCCATTGGCTTCTTGTTTGGGAGACTTTCTTTACAACTGTTAATATTTTTAATTATGGCTCCTGAATCATATTTCTAGTTGCTATTTTACATGATTATGTGTTTTAACTGTTCCATACAACCAGAATCAGCAGACTGCAGCAAGCCTATAAACTCAATAAATTAATACATGCATATTGAAACTTAAAGAAACTGCTTAATACCAGAAAATAAGTTTACAAGACATATCATAAAAAGACCCATTTAAAAAAATAAGAGGATAGTTTCTTTTTATGTTTTTTCTCTAATTGGCAACAATTTGAAATTTTGACCATGAAGCTGAGGCTACTGATACTGAATGGATAAATAATGTTAGTTTCAATCAAGTATTTAAAGTATGCTTAATTTTATACGATGAAATATTTAACTCATTCCCTGTATATACAAGTTTCTAGATTCCAAAGAACATTTAATAGAAAGACTCTACTAGAGACCTATATAAAAACTAAAGGGGACAAATGTCAATTAAAAAGGGCAACATTGGATTGGTTGAAAAGCTACTATGTAAATTTCCTTATTCAAGTGTTCATCTCCTCTTTCCCCCTTCATAATTAAAATGTACAAAGCTGCTAGTAATAGAGACATCTGTTTTATAGTATTTATGTTAATTATATTTTTTTAGGCAATTATTAACTTGTTGAGCCCCAATCCGGGACTTGTCATACCTGGGGGGGGGGGGGGGCTGTGTGCTGTGGTTCTACCCTTGGTCTGGCCCTGGACTTTTGAGACTTGTTAAATTGACTAAGTAAGAATGTCTAACTAAAAATTGTCTAATTAATTGCATGTTAAATTGCAGCTGGCAAGTAAAATCTTCAAAATGGCATTCTCATTTCCTTTGATGGAAAGCTTTTAATGAAATAAAAATTAGGATTAATGATTTCAAATTTATTTAATAAATTTATCATTTTATCAACTATACTGGACTTTCATTATCAGTTTAATCAGTTATAGCATAATTAATTAGTCTGAAACTTAAATCCAGGAATAAAACAAAAAGAAGTGATTAAGACTACATATATTACAGTAAAACTTTATATGTATGCACATGGTAAAACAGAATGGAAAAGTTGTATCTGAATACATAATCCTATCTGCATCTCTTTGACCTATGAAATATATCGAGAAATTCTGTTGTACAGTACAGGTTCTAAAACTATTCAATGCATACTATTTCAGAGTACAAATTGATGTTACATAAAATGTCTCCAACAATGTAATTCCATGCATAAGTGAGAATGTTTATTAGATTTTTATTCTGCCTTTAAAAATAATTCAAAGCAGTGAACACACATAATATTTCTTCCTTCTCCTATTTTATCCACAACAATCACATTGTGAGGTGGATTAAGCTAAGACAGAGTAACCAACCGAAAGTCACTCAGCCATCTTTCATTCCTAGAACTGAGTTCTGGTTTTCAGGCGAGCATCTTAACCATGATAATCATTAATTTTTCTGGTCATCAGACAAAAGACAGTCTGGATAACCCTTTTCTTTAATTTACTATCATGTAACCCTTTCCTGGGTTTAGGTAAAGAAAATGCAAAACAGAATGGACAGTATAATAGGATTTATTGAAAAGAAGCATTTATCTCTGGGACACTGAGTTATCTTTCAGGTAAGCTGAAATACATTGAACTAGTGCAAGTGCTATAACTGAAATTCATTTTTCTCAAAAACTGGATAAGGGCAATTGTAAGCCTAATTGTTTGATGCCAGATCCATTAAATTTGTCTCATTGAGATTACTAGTGAAGAAGTTTAAAAATAAGAATGGCCTAGGAACAGAACAGAACTTAATTAGTCCAACACCTACTGTTAGGCCATGAAATGGCATTCCTCCTACTCATATAAGGTATCTTCACCCCCAAATACAGACCAATATTCAGAGGGTTATTAATAAGAGAACCAATAATAGAAAATAATAAATAACAAATAGAACCAATAGACTAGTTATCCTTGTCAACCTTATTGTCTATAAAAGAACCTTCATAAAGAACAAGTTCAGGGATATAAGATACCTGACACTCAATCTAAGCAATCAGAGTCACTTTCTCGTGAGATGGGCAGAACATACATTTATTTATTCAATAAATAAAATAAAAATAATGTTATAGTATATTAAGCCCAACTACTGCCATACACAAATTTATTAGTTCCTTAACAAAGCTGCAATTTTTCCTCCTGAAATCAGTGTGCCAATTAAAAGATTAGTAGTTGTAGTTTCATGGTTTAAATCTCTGTTGGACCACTGTAGCCAAATATTTTTGAAATATTAAAGATGTTCCCACCCATCCTTTCACCCCCAAATCATGGCATTTTCTGGAGGCAAGATAGACTGGAATCCAAAGGTTCAGACCATTCTGAAAAGCAGTTACCTTCAATCAAGGGATAACATTGCTGAAGATATCTCTACTGCTATCATCACTGTTGTGGTCAGAAGAGTTCAGCCACCAGGGATGTTACTCCAGCAACCGTTGCATACACTAAGTTCACTTAAAAATATTTTGAAGAAAATATTATATTTGAAATGTATATAAATATATACATTAATACTACTAAATTAGAATGACTAGTAAATAAGTCACAGAATGTAATTAACAATATACTGTGGTGAGAATTAGTATGAAAGTTTGTACTAGTTTATATGGACATATGAAAACTTACTGATAAGAGGAGACATTATTAAATTCAAGAAATTATAATTCTCATGATATCATTTTTTTAAATACATGCAGGCAACTATCTGGCAGAGGATATACAGCAAGCATCATGATAAGCAGAACTATGGATGAGGTTCAAGATTCATATCCTTCTCAGGAATCCTTACAAGTATGCATGTTTGTACATGCATTTGTAAAATCAAATGGGTCTGATGTACGAATCACAGGTACCTTTGAGCCACGCCCTGAAAGAGTTGCAGAGTCAACATACAACTCCTGTTTTAAAACATGCAATCAAGCAAAATACAACAGACCACACTATCAATGTTTTATTATTTCATCCTTTGATTAAAATCTGTATGTATTAATATGCTATGTATAGATTGAATAGAAAATCAAGCCTGTATAAATTTTTCTGCTATTTTTCAGTTTTAAAATGGAATACAACAGAATACGGCAGACCCACTGAAATAAATAAACCAAGTAACCAACCAGTTTTCCATATTATACCTTCTGGATCCAGGATATACAACCCCAAAATGTTTTGTTTTTCCAGTCAACAAATAATTTAATTGGGTAGAAGAATAATGTGGCCTTAAGTTCTACCCTTCAGAAAGTGCCCAACAGAAATTCTGTTCTCATGGATGCCATTTTTACCAACAGATTGGTTGCACAGCACTGCATTCCCAATTGTAGTATTGGGCCTCAAAGTTTCAACTATGTTTCCCCACTCAAAATAAGATCTAACTGGAAAATAAGCCCTAATGTGTCTTTTGGAGCAAAAATTAATATAAGACCCAGTCTTATTTTTGGGGAAAGATAGTATGATTCCATCATAAAATTCTCCAGAAAATAACATTACATGGACCACTCTAGTACTGAGGACATTAATAAGTCCACTATGACTTCTGTTAATGCATGGTAATAACACTCTTAATATTACTCTAATGCTTTAAGTAAGATATTATACATATTATACTTATATTTCAGAGATAATATGCATTATAATGCAACATAAAATACTGGCTAGGTCATGAAATGTAAAAAACAGTTATATTTCTTTTCAGCCAATTTAAGTACAGATCAGAATATTGTAGAGATTATTGACCTGTACATCATAAAACTTTACCTGGTATCTTATTCAGAATAAAACACAACACAAAATATTTCATATAGATTTAAGTATGTTAAATTCACTCCAGCCTGATGGCTAGTTTCACAAATCAGCTGGCCTTGCAGAGGTGCACATGCCCCTATATACTTCAGAAAATGTGGAAATTCCTGCCTAGCACAAACACCTTTCTGGTGTCTGAACATCCATCCCATTGCTGAGCAGGGTGGAATCTCAGGAGAATGATTGACCTGTGAAGTCATCCACCAGAGAAAACTGACCTGCCCAGTTTAAGAAACCCATGGAAGGGACTAAGTTAGGGTTTGGAACTAATGCTTGTTTAAGGAGATTATTTCATGTTTTGAATACAAAAATATCCAAAACTGGTTAACCATATGAAACATCACCATATAGCTAATTAAAGAGGAAACTGAAAGTTATCATGGATATTTTTCAGTTGGATACTTGTGATATCAAAGCACCACAAAGTCTGTACTTTGAATTATTTAACAGTGGTTTAAAAGATTGCCTGTATTCATAAAAATGCTATGGATGATACTCTTCAAGTGCATGCTTGAAAAATTACAAAATCTATATTATGTACAATATATTTGCTGACAAGAAAAGTTTCTGATATGAAACAATGTAAAAAGAAATACTTTTTCCATTAAGTTCCTTAAAGATGACATCACTTGGAGAAGAAAATTGATTCTAATTTCTTTTATATATAGTATAGTGAATTGAACCGCATATTTTATCTGTAAATCATTATTTATTCTGATTGCACTGATATTACAGTACAAGTGTATTACAAATTATATTATATACAGAGCTCATCTGCGATACAGTACAAATAATTCTTCAAGCAAATGCACTTTGATTCATATTTGATTAATATTGAAAAATATAAAGGCTACCAGTGTTAATAATTTTACAGTATTATCTGGAAATTCTAAGGAAGGAAGCTAAAAAAACCTCTATGATTTTGTGCAAACTTAAGAAATTGGTAAAGACAAAATATGTTCTTTTAACTTTCAGAACTCAACTTGCAATAACAGAGAGAAGAGTGCCATGGATACATATGTGTGTTTAGGATAATTTGTAAATAACTTAACACACCCAAGCAATTTGTTACACCCCTTCTCTTGACTGTGTGAGTGCTGAATGGAAAATGCCCTACCACCCTTCCTTCAGCACTTTGTACTGTGTTTCTCAAGCTGTGAGAATACAGTGTAGAGCTATAGTTATAGTGTATGCATCTTTTTGTCTCCTGAAGCAAGAGAGAGAGAACAGTTTCATTTGCGCATAAGAAACTCATTTAGCATTATAAGAACCAACTTGGCAAGCCTGTTTCAGAGTAATCCACTTTGGAAGATTCAGCTTTCGCTTTTTGCGAAATGCAATTTAGTATTTATTGCATCCAAATTCAGAAAATTGTGAATTTTAACTACAATTATTGAAATCTTAGCCTGAAAACCAATAATTACTGACCAAATCTAAGCTTTCATAAGAAAGGAAATGAAAATTTCCAATTTCTTTGTGGCTTTACTTATGAAAAAGTAAATACAAACATTTAAACTCATCAACGTTCATCTGATAACATTAAACTGTAATCATTTATGTGCAAAAGCAACAGCAAAAACAAATAGCTAGAAAATAGCTCTCAAGGCTTTTATGACAGAATGCCAGCTTTGTAACATATGGATATGGATATGGCTATCAGATTTGGGCTAAAAAATTCAAACATTCACTACAGGTAATCCTCAAATTATGACCATAATGAAGCCTGCATAGTGGTTATAAAACAGGTCAGACAGATGATCAACCTGGTTTTATGACTTTTTTGCAGTGGTCATTAAGCAAATGCAGCATTAACAACATTGTCGTTTTCAGTTAAACTGTTGTTAAATGCAATCACATGATCACAGCATACTGCGAACGGATGTAAATTTGACCATGATGCCAAGCATTTGAAATGTGGTCACATGATGGCAGGGAGGTTCCAACAAGGATAGCTTCAGATTGAGATTATAAATCCCCCTTTCCAGGTTGGTTGTATCTTCGACAAGTCATAAATTGAGGACCAACTGTACATGACAACAAAGTGAGTATCCAAATTTCATTGCTGTTATCTAACAGTCATATGGCTGCTTATGTAGGATTGATTTTCACCAACTATCTTCATCTGGTTACATTTTGGAAGCATGAATGAGGCTCCAATGCTCATGTTTTCTAAGCAGACTGCTCTAGCATAAATAAGAATGAGGAGACTAAAACTACAACCTTACAAGCATTTCAAAATTTGAGCAATGTAAAAAATAGGATTCCTCAAATATATGTCTTTTTTTACTTTATAGTGACATTGCAAAAAAAATATTTAACATAATGATAATGTAGGCACTGAGAAAAAAAAGATGAGAAAATTATCTCTCCATGAAACATTAGAACTTACAATCAATTTTAGCCAATTGGCAGGAAATTCAGAATAGGCAAAAAAAGGAAAAAATACATATGGCATATTTTGTTGGTATAAAATTCAGCAGTAGCCATTATTTAAATGGCTTTTAAAGACAATTAGATAAATTAAGTATGTCAATAGCTAGTAATCATTATGGCCATGTTAATATCTAAGCCCATCAGCAATATGCCAATGAATATCTGTACAAAATAGAAAGGAAAAAGCTGGTTATATTTATGCCATCCATGTGGATGCAAGAGCATTCTAGGATGCAAGATGTTGAAGTTTGTTAGTAATATAAGAATAGTCCTGATGAATAATCAAACACTAAGCTGCAGTGAATTAAATGTAGATTCATACCATATAAGTATTCATAACATGATGACAACCAGTGTTGTGAAGTGGCTAAGATGTTAGACTTCCACTGGGTACAGAGTTGCCCCAGAAGCTCACTGGGTGACTTTGGACCAATTACTCTCTGTTTATCTCTGTCGAATTTATACCCATAGGTTGTTATGGGAGTTAAAAAATGAGGACAAAGCTATAATACTTTGCCTTTATCTTCTGAATAAAAAAAATCAAAATATAAATCTAGTTAATAATCAAATAGAATTAGGTTATAAGACACGATATTTTTCCCTGCCAATGGAAATCAATGTTGAGAATCTAATTCTGAGTAATATGAGATTTATCAAGATTTACCAATGGGTTTGGCGAAAAGAAACTACTCATACTAGAGCACAGGGTTGAAAAGATACACACTAATTAAAAATGCTTATTAAATGCAGATCAGTTATTTAAATAACTGAAAAAACAAATATCAATATTTGATTAACAATCACATACATTTTGAGTATATATACACCTAAGTGTAGAAACTGGCTATATGCCTGTCATGACATTTTGGATGCAATATTAATATATTAAATGCTAAATTAACCAGAAATAGTCATAGAAAGTTAAATTAATATAATTTCATTATAGGACTCTTCAATTTCAATATTTTCCAAGATATATGATAGTCTTGCGGAAGATATCTTTTTTGTTTACATAACAATAAAACAATATATACCTGTAACAATAAAACAGAATCAAGATGATTGTTAGATTCAGCATACATATTTCTGGGGAAAAATATATAAGCAAACTTTTATGAATGTTTTAGTATTAATTAAAATGATAAAATTAAATACAGTGAGGCTTTGAAACATCTTTCTGTAGGAGTATTTCCTTACCTAAAATGCCGGTCCACGTTACACAATGCTGGATGAATGATGTTCATCCCAATGGTTAATTGTGGCCATGAGGCAATTACCTGCATCTGCCTGCTTGCACTTCTAGGCTATATAAAACAGTAAAGAAATTCTATTATAATCTGCCAAAACATTACTTCAGAACAGTTTTCTCAACTTTTCAGAAAATGCAAGAATGTAATCATCATTACAATGACTCTAGTCTCATTTACATAGAGCAGATGTCTACAAACTTGTAAACTTTAAGACTTCTGGACTTCAACTCCCAGAATTCTCCAGCCAACATAGCTGGGAGTTGAAGTCCACAAGTCTTAAGGTTGCCATAGTTTGGAAAAATAAATTCTGTAAGTTCTTCCTTACAGCCAGGTTAATATGCTATCCTGTTGTATCTGAGACAGGAGGTAAGCAGATTGATAAACTGTACTGCCCCCTAGTTATTTCATGTCACTGGCCTCACTCTGTTCTGGCATTCTCATGTCACTGGCCTCACTCTGTTCTGGGGAGAACTAAATGGATTATTGTAGTAACTGTTTATCTTCAATAACTATAATTGTGTTAAAAAGGCAATTTCAGTAAAAAAATTAGAGAATGCATTTTAAAACATATGCTACCAAATGTACCAAATTACACGCAGTTATATATTGACACTATTTCCTGCAGCTGTCTGATAAACTAAGCACAATTTTCTCTGGAAGTCTGTTTGCATACTCCAACTTGCAATGAGGACTTCTGCATTTGCACCTTTTCAAAACCTGCCAGAACAAACAGTAGCCATCATAGATGTATTCTTTCATGGTGTATATGTCCATGTCTTCGTGTGTGTGTGTGTGTGTGTGTGTGTGTGTGTGTGTGTGTGTGTGTG